GATGGTTGCTGAATGACTTTGTGGAGCATAATTGCACATCCATACACCTGCACTGGGTGTCAAAGTCTAGCCAAGTCACCGCACCCATGTGGTAGAGAAGGGCCTGCAGCACAGCTCAACCACAATGCTAACTGGCACTCTGCAGAGTAAAAGATTAAAAATATTATATTTGCATATTTCAATCATGAAAAGTTCATCCTGTGGTGGAATTATCAGTACCTTATAGTCTTTTTCCTTAGTTGAAAAAATAACACTTTCCCTCAAATTGTTGTCATTTGCTATTTAAGCGAGGTTGATATTTAATGAAGAATCCTTTTAAAATGACCTATCCTCGGATTCTGTAAACTCCCACAAAGTAAAAAGATAAAATTTTCATTATAATATCATCTCTGACAAGCAGTAAGATTCATTAAAAGCCCCAAAACCAAAAAAGAGGTAATCCCACCAGCACCATGCAGTGATTTCTCATTAGAGGAGATAGTGAAGTATTGCAACAAGGAGATTAATAGAAAGAATGTATGGATTCTTACCCTACCTCCTTGCTGATTTACATCATGCTATGTAGTTGAAACAACAGGGGAAAATGCAAAAGCTCTCATATGATTAATGCTGAAATACAAACCCTCTGGTTACTGTCGATTATATATTCACAACAACACACTTGGGAAAATGGCTATAGAAGCACTTTCTATTGTGTTCTTTTTTGTCTTAAATCCTTTCTATATGAGTCATTTCAGGGACTCAAATTTATTTTTTATGGTAAACACTGTTTCTCAGAATATACAATTTTTTTTCAGAAAACCTTTCTCCTTCTAAAATTGTATATTCCATCTTCTTTGCTCTAATGTTGAGATTTCCTGGCCCAGCACAAAACACTAAGATTTAGGCAATGTTTATTTCACAGACTCATCAAAGAGACTTTTAGGGCTGGGAAGAAATCTTAAGGATTATCTAGCTCAACTCCCTCACCTTATAGACAAGAACACAGGGGTTGGGTTGCCCTGCCTGACTTTACCTTCTGCTTTGCCGCATCTGATAGAGCAAACTGAATTTCTTAAGGAGGAAGAAGCATTACCAAGGTAACGACACAGTGTGTGGAAAAAATGGAAGGATGGATGACAGAGAAAGATGAACATCCTTCCTCTGTAAACAGATAAATGAACTAGAGGTCATATCAGGTGGGCAGAAACAAACAAACAAAAATAATAAGAAGGGCCGTTTTTTTCTACCATTTTAGCAGCTTCAAGTTTCAGCTGAGTGAGGGAAGGATGCTGCTGCATCCGCAGGAGGGAGAAGAAGGGAAATGTGATATGAATAGGCAGCCTGGCTCACTGCATCCCTTCCCCTCTGCACTTCCCCACCCCAACATGGCCTCTCTTCTGTGGCAGAGAGGTAGGGACACGATCCCCTGTTTTTTAGCCTCAAAATTCATAGATATAAAAGGTCTTTCCTCAGGGCCAATACTACTGTAGACAAACTACTAATTGCTAAGGATTTTTAACATGTTAAATATGCTGATTCACAAAGCATATTTACATAGAGCCACACACTGGGTCCTCTTGGATAACTGGTTCCATGTCATCTTCCTATTGTTGGTATTTAGTAATGTATACTCTTTTATCCCAACAGAAAAATTAGATAATATCATCAATTTTAGGATATATCTTTGTTACAATCCTTACATGTCCTTCTCTCTATTCCATCACCAAGATCCTATACTGTGTGGAATAAAGAAGTAGGGAAAATAAATTGGAGAAATAATACCACCCTACATTTTTGGCAAACAATATATTTCAGAGAGTGTTCCAGTACAACATCTCACTTTATCCTCACAAATAATCCTTTGAGGTAGTTACACTGGTATTATTCTCCATTTCACAGAATAAAAAATTGGATTCTATACACGACCAATAAGTAGACAGATTTGTTGGAGGAGGGCAGAATTATGGAACTGGAAGGCATCTAGTTCAGTTTTCTCAATTTGAAAATAGAATAACCGTGGTCTAGAGGGGTTAAACAGGTGACCCAAGGTCATATGCTTTAAGTTTAGTGTTGGGATGAGATGGCCATCTGCTGATTTCTAGCCTGCAGCTTTGTCGCCATGGTGCTCCCTTTTACAAACCAGTAAAGATATGTTGGAGTAGATGATGATATCCACTAACTGATGTTAGGCCACACAGTTTTAATTTGCTCCTTCTCCATCCCATCTAAATGTTCAGACATCAGGACACTTGAGAAATAATAAAAAGTGATCCTTGGGTGTGCAAGTTTAGTGATCAAACTGATCCAGCACTATTCACTTGGTAGAAAAATAATTGAATAGTACTGGAAAAAGTTCTTTGGGAGAAAGAAACGTCTGGGAGTCAAGAAAGTAGTGGGAGCCAGGTATGGTGACTTGGGCTTGTAGTTCTAGCTACTTGGGAGGCTGAGGCAGGAGGACTGCTTTTGTCTAGGAGTTCAAGGCTGCAGTGAGCTGTAATTGCACCACTGTGTTCCAGCTTTGCAACAGAGTGAGACACTGTCTCAAAAGGAAAATAAAAATTTAAAAAGGAGATGGTGATCAGTCATACAAGCACAAGGACCTCTTCCCCCACCATGTGGTCTGGCTTTGTAACACGTACAGTTTATAGCAAGAGAATAAATATAAAGCTCCTACAACAGAGGAGAACCCAAAGCCCCTCCTTCAACTTGCTTTCTGTCATGGCATCTACAGATCAGTGTCTCTTTAATACTGGATAAGAATCTCTGAACTTTTTCATTTCTCTTGTTTCTCATCCCTTTCCAGCCTTTTTCTACAATAATCTCCATTCTTTTTGTTTGCTGTCCCCTCAGCCTCTTTCATGTCATCTCATCTTTTCATATATACTGTTCTATCTGCAACATACTGAAAGCGTAAACTAAAATAAACACAAAATTTTCCAAACTGTTTTCTGTCCTGCTTGTTCTTCAAGGACCACATGAATTGTTCCTTCCTCAAAATCTTCCCTGCAGAAAGTATCCTTCAGTTTTTTTTTCCATTTCCTCAATATCTACAGCATTTATGGTTTGTATCACTCATTTGGCACCTCTCAGATGTAGCCTCTTATTATTCATCTGTTGATCTCTGTCCTGTTCCCCTAACAAGATGATGAATTCCTTTCTGAAAGGCAGAAACATTTGTCTTCAGCATCTACCAATGTGTTCTACACAGAGTCTGTTATGGTTGATCCTTAGTATGAACCTGGTTTAGTTTTGAAGATCTCATGAGTGGTTTGAACTTAACAACACCAGATGCTATAAATATTTCATTATATCTGAAACAACATTCCCAGTGTTCAGAATTACTTTCCAGTTGGGTATGCCCAAAAAAATCATTCAGGCAAGAGTTTTCATTTCAAATATTATAAGCTCTATATAGCTGAACAATGTCAGGACAAGCAGATTTACTATTTCCCTTCATATAGTTTAGGTAAGTTCTCTTCGTAGAGGAGCAAGTTACACCTTCTCATGCAAATAAAAAAATTATCATGGTTTAGGCAAGGCTTTCGTGACAATAATTACAATAATTACTGGGCCCCTATTATGTACCAGGCACTGTCCTTAGTGTCTGGTAAACCCCTATTATGTACCAGACATTGTCCTTAGCATCTAGTAATCGCATGAAATTCTTTAATAAATACTATTTATTAAACTTTAATAAATACTATTATTTTCTACATGTAAAGAAACTGGGCTTTAGAGAATTTAACAACTGACTCCAGATCACACAGCTAGCAATTTTGGAGCCAGGATTAAAAGTATTTAGTCTTACCTATAATAGGAGCTTTAATAAAATATGTAATTATGATGATAAAATACTTTCCTAAACTCCTCACAGTTATGTCTTTTATATTTTTATGTAGCTGGATATTTTGTTAGACTGTATATTGCCAAATAATCATATGAAGCAGTAACAATAATGTTAAATAATGTTACTTCAAATACAAAAGAAAAAAATTTGGCATAATACATAAAATTATTTTAGCTAAAGCTTCTGGAACCTGGTACATACGTCCCCTAACTTGCTACAACAAACCTATAAGGCAGGTATTACTGTATTATTATAATATACATGATGCTGTAAAACTTGCAATAATCTATAATGAAAAAATTAGAATAGAATCTAGTATCACTCGAAAGTTTTTCACTTTTTGTCCATTTGTAGAAATTATAATAAAAATTATAATGGACTCTAGTATACCCGAAAAGTTTTTTCCACATTCTTTCCATTTGCAAATGTAAAAATTTCATTTGATAATATATCATTAAATATTGTATTTATATAAGATTTTTAAATACTGAAAAAAGAAACATTAGTTGCAATCTCTTCAAATATATCTTTTCAAGCAGTTCATAAAGTATGGTTACATTTATGTCTGATAAATGCATTCTGTTCAATGAGAATTTGATGCAATTATTTTTAAAGTCTTGAAATAAATGCTCAAGGATTATTGATCTGAATCACATCAACTAATGGTTTAATCAACAGGTCACCTACAAACAGCAATATGAATTCATTTGATATACTGCTGTGCTTGCATTGCAAAATGATTTATTTCTTGCCCAGACATAATTATAAAACTGTAAGAGATGTTCAATCATACATTGAACTTTTCTAAGTATTTCATTAGACTTTGTTTTTTCACATTAATTGAAATGTTCTAGAGGATAACCTACATGGAACCAAATTTGAGTATAGCTGTGGTGCCTATAAAACAGGGAGACTTGATCTTGTTAGTATAAGTACCATAAATTACTGGCTCAGGGACCTACAGTTGTGTTTTCGTATGCCCAGAATCCATTTAGTAAATTCCCTTTGCCAATTCACTTAATGGCAGCACAGCACTCTCAAAAAATTAATTGTTAACCAGTCTAAAACATTAACAATTTATGCTATATACCATTATCCTCATTTTATTGAAGAAAACCCTATTGCAATGTTATGGCCCTTTGATTAATGCAGTATTTCTTTTTTAATGCAGGCAAATGGTTTAACTATGGAATTATCTTCCTCGTCTTGATTTTGGATCTTAATATGTGGAAGAACCAAATATTTTATAAACCTCATGAATATGGGCAATATATCGGCCCAGGGCAGAAGATATATACAGTGAAAGACTCAGAAAGTTTAAAAGATTTGAACAGAACCAAGCTATCCTGGGAATGGAGGTCCAATCACACTAACCCTCAGACTAATAAAACATATGTTGAGGGAGACATGTTCTTACACAGCAGGTTCATAGGAGCCAGTCTTGATGTCAAATGTCTGGCCTTTGTTCCAAGCCTGATAGCCTTTGTGTGGTTTGGATTCTTTATTTGGTTCTTTGGACGATTTTTGAAAAATGAGCCACGCATGGAGAATCAAGACAAAACTTACACTCGCATGAAAAGAAAATCTCCATCAGAACATAGCAAAGACATGGGAATCACTCGAGAAAACACCCAGGCTTTAGTAGAAGACCCCTTGAATGACCCTTCTTTGGTTTGCATCAGGTCTGACTTCAATGAGATCGTCTACAAGTCTTCCCACCTAACCTCGGAAAACTTGAGCTCACAGTTGAACGAATCTACTAGTGCAACAGAAGCTGATCAAGACCCAACGACTTCTAAAAGTACACCTACGAACTAGACTCAGAGATAGACTTGGAGATAGCACAAAAAGCAACCTTGAGTGTAACTTTAAAAATTTAGTCTTTCATTTTGTATATGTAAGGTTTACGTAGTGTTAGGTAAAAATATGAACAATGCCACAACGGTGCTCAACATGCTTTTTCTAGGATTCATTGTTTTCTATTTGTATTATAATACACGTGCCTACTGTATACTTAACAGTCCTCTAGAGATTGCTTTTCACAATTGCACAAGCTATTACTGACTTTACAGCATAGTAGAAGATTAGCTGATGACCCATGTATCTGATGTTCAACCATAGTGGTGCCTTGAGACATTAAACTGTTTTTAACTGTACCAGAAATGAAGTGTGGAACAGTTACCTAACCTATTTCACATGGGCGTTTTGTATACAACTATTTTGATCTACACTTGATGTCTGAGCAGTAAACAGAAATAGCTAAATGTGACTCAGGAAGTATCTCTTGGTTTCTTATTCAGCAGCAGAGTTGGTGACTTTGACAACTGGACTGCAGAGAAACATGTTGATCACCTTTTAATTTTTATTGGCTGTCTGCCAAATATAAATACAGATGCAAAATTCAGTAATGGGAGATCTATAACCCAACATGGGTCACTACTCGTGAAATGTGACTTTCTCCCACCAGTAATTGCAATTAGGTGATAATACCTAATTATGTTTCCTAATTAAAGATAAATTGCTACTTGATTAAAAATCCTGCCCTTCACCTTTGGGAGCAAAGGTTAAGAGACACAGTTGGGTGAACTCTCAAATTTATTGGCATTTACACAAAGCCCCAACCAAGGAACTGAAGTTTTCATCATGTGAGAACAGCACAGCCCACCATTTACAATATTCGTATATCTTTCTGCAAATATGACTCTGGATAGTGAAAATTGAAAAACATATGCCAACCCCGAGCAAGGGAACTCCTCAAAAAATCATGCAGCGGAACCTTGTCAGGTAGAGAAGCCGTGCATGAAAGAATTTGTTTAATGTCTTGTTTTGCGTGTGTGGTTTTTGTTTTTGTTTTTTAAGAACTAAATATTGCACATTAATAAATAAGAATTATACAGCAGTAATTATGTGATGTAGTTTTTTGTTTAATTGTACCTTGGCTTAAGAAAAGTCGATTTACATGGGGCTTTTAAAGCTTGATGCCAGGCAAGTTAAGAAAAGGCACACTCTGCCAACTTGCATTCAATTTTGTTCCATAAATTGTGGTTACGTTTCTTGATGGGGTGAGGGGAAATCACTTTTAAGGAAAAAATATTTTCCTGTCACACACTGACATAGCTGCATTTTGTCTTTATGATTTTTTAAATCTCTCTTGTTTTGATCTATCTGCTTTTAAGCTTGCAGCATACTGAATTTAGCATGCATAATAGAACTATGCATTTATCTGTCACTTGAGAGCAAGCTTTAATAAACATCTTTACTAAGCATTTGGAACCATGCCCCTGCTGTTACTTTTACCTTTAATAGCCATGCATGGTGCTACTTAGAATCATAAACATATCCAACACACACACACAAATGCAGAGATCAAGCTCACTATAGTAACCCATTGCCCATACTATCCAAAGGAACTTACCATGTTATGTGTGATAGGTGGCAAAACTAGCTATTACTAAATTTTGGCAGCCTAGAACATTCAACTTTTAGCTCTGGGACATGTAAAAACACCTAGCACCATTTTTTAATTTATTCTGAAAGTCATAGTCTTGTAGAATGAAGAAAGAAGTTGATTTAGGAAGTAGATGTTTATTATCAGTATGCATGTCTTATAAAAATATTATTTGAGAATTTTTACATGGGTATTAATGGAAAATGTTTTAATGAGAAAATCTAATTAGCAGAAGTAAGAAAAAAGATAACAAACCTAGAACAACATGTTTATGTGTTTCTAGGGATTAGCTAGAAAAACTATAAAAAAAAGAAAATATATATTTAAAGTTTTCATAAATTTAGTAACAAATGGAATAATTTCCAAGGATATTTTAATAGTCAAACAAGACTTCAACCTTCTAAGGCTTCCACTATTGAACTGTATTTACTGATAGTGACCTTTTCTTACCTATACGCAGATCTACTTTCGTCTTTTGCTGCCTCTTTTCGGTATTGAATTTATATCAAGTAAAGATACTAAAGTGAAATAAAATCAAAGTAAAAATTAAATCCATTCACGTTCAGTCTTGAATCCTGAGTCATATACCAATAGACTGAGACTCTACAGAGCTTTTTGAGTACCAAAACTTTTAAATTATTAAGGACATTTTAAAAAGAGATGTGTAGCAATCTCAGAAATCGAGGTTAAAAAAAAAGATTTAAAAAATTACTAAGCACAGATTCTAAAGAAAGCTTAACAAATGTGATGTCTTAATTGCAGTGATGCTTAAGTACTATAAACAATTATATTTCTACTGTTCAGTAATTACAGTACTTTCTTCCACACAGTGCAGAATTTGAACTAATTTGACATAATTTTAGTATCCTACATTTATAGAGTACTTCATTAGTAGTTTAAATGGAAAATTAAATAAACACTATGAATTTGTGCCTGATAATATACACTTAGACATAAATCTCATCACCACATGTCTATTTGTATTGTATAATCATAATTAGTTACCCCATTTTCTCCCCATGGTAGCTACTTATCATGTTACCTTATCTTTTAGCGTAACTGAGATCACCGGCAAATTCTATTTAAAATGTTAAGAATTATTTCTTCTGCATCTGCCCTAAGAGTCAACCAGGTACAATTTTTTTTTTTTTTTTTTCTGTAGCATCAGATTTCACACAGGTAATGTCCAAAAACACTGCACCGCTGGCTGACAGTATAGGGAAAAAAGTCCAACATAGGCATTCAGATTTGAAGGAGGGATTCAATACATGGTAACTCACCACTGGGGTCCATAAGCAATTTTGCTATATTATTTGGCTGCCCCATGGGTCACCAACACAGCCCAATATAAGATATGAGAAAAACAGTGCTAATAAATCACTCTTAACTGTCCCTATAACTGATAATTCAGGAGGCCAACTGGATTATCTGACATTCAGCTAAGACCTCAGTAACCTGCCATTGCTTCTCATCTATCTGTCTTCACTCTGAACTGACCCTTATTTTAAATTTCAACTCATGGTTAGGCAGTTACAAGTAGGTTTATACTGGTTTTTTCCTCTGAGACTGTGACTTGGCTCACTATCCTATCTGGCCTGATTTCCTCGAGCTTTGTCCCTCAGAACCCAACTCTGGCCTGTTAGCCAGCCCTTACCTTTAAGAGAGCAAGAGAAACTCAATTAGTTCTGCAGCAGATAAACTGGCACTTTCCTCATTTATCCCCATTTAGACATTTAAACATATTTGTGTGCATAGAGTTGTAATTAGTGAGAATAAATATAGATAACAGAGTCAAGCTCAGAAACGTTTGGCTTGCTTCCATTTAAACTGGTCTACAACTGTCTTATTTGAACAACTAGGGAAGTTTAGATGTAGTATTTATAACTCACAAGTCACTCTTGTTGAAGAAACTAGAAAAATAGGTGGATATTTATAATGAAAAGAGAAGGTTAGGCAGATGGTGGAGAACAAGTGAAGGTTGCTGCAATGAAATCTTAAAATTAAAAACAGCAATTTAAACAGGCTTTAAAACTGCAGGGAGAAGATAGAAGCCTCTATGAAAGGAACTTCACCATAAAATTCTCATTAGGCTAGTACTCTTCTGTGTTGTGTAGAGCACTCAAAAGTTATGTTCAACATAACTCAGCGACGGTATTACATAAAAGGCTGGTTGGTTGGTTGGTTGGTTGGTTGGTTGGTTGGTTGGTTAGCTGGCTTCTTAAACATTCTAGCATTGAAATTACTCTCTGTCTGCCCCAGGGAGCATGATGAGACCTGGGAGGGGAGAAATGTTACTGTGAAACAAACTATAGTAGGCAACATGAGAAGAGAGAAAAATCACCACATCAGTTTAGAGAGACTGGAACATCCTTGATGGAAGAACAAACATCGGGGCAAATTTGGCTTGTAAGCATATTATCAATATATAAAAGCTGATATCCTGTAAATGAAAATATCTTGCAGGTACTTTCTCCTAGAGAGAGATTCTGAAAAAATTTAATGAGAAACAAATTTGGAAAGTATTACTAATTTAATATGTATAAAATACTACTGATAATATTTTAATTTAGTGTGAGGTATCAATTATTTTACTTCAGTGAATATAAAACACATTTCATAGGTTTATTTATCTACCTCCAACATAAGCTTTCTTAAGGTCTTAAATTCCTTAATACCAATTGTACTATCGGGCTTTTTAAGGACTTACATAACTGAGAAGGACCACTATAATTTATAATTGAGAATTACAGTAACAAAACCAATTTATAGATACTCCTTGCTCTAGTAAACTTTTTCACCCTATCCAGATCTTTGCTCAATTCTCATATTAATGATACTACCATTTTGAATATTTTCTATGTGAAAATAAATATTCCATTCAATACTCACATTAACCTTAACAATTGAAGGTAAATATGGTTAATTTCACTATACAGATGATGAACCTCAGGCTTAGAGAGGATTTTTGACTTGCCCGAGGACTTAAAGCTAGCCAAATGCAAAGTTAAGATTGGAATTCAGGCTTGTCTGACTCCAGTTTTCCATCACAAACATCTATAAACACCCGTCAAAACTCGAGTATCTGTATCGAATGGGATCTTTGGTAAGGATAACCTGGGAAATGGTTGTAAAGCCATAAATATGCTTGACTTCTAGCAATTCTTACCTCTCAAGAATCTAAGTTAAATATTAATTTCTATTAGCTGCCTGGATGCAATTTACAATTTAAAGCATATGATTGAAACAGATAAGTTCAAATTAAATGGCAAAAGCAGTCAGTTCATTGCCAGGTGTTTTGATTTAAGCTACATTTTTAAAACCACAACACAGATTTGTCCCAATACAATTCCTAGCATTGGAATTTGTTTCTTTTGTCATTTCACTTTCTTTGGGGAAGGGAGACTGGAGTTCTGCATGTTTTGAACATATCCCCAGGAGAATGCTGGAGGAAGAACTGGTAGTTATGAATATTAAAACAAGGGGATAAAAAGATTAGCTAATGGCCAGTTCTAGGAAGCATAATTTGAATATGGGCTCTAGAGACAACCATATTTTACAAACATATTTTGAAATGATGACTCCAAATTTATTATTTTTAAGAATCTTTATCCAGGTATCAAGACTGGCCATGAAGATGTTTCCCTTGACATGATGAGTTATTCTCCTGTTCTCCTCCCTGGAATGGGAATTCCTCACAGGGTTTTGAAGATGACCAAAGAAGACTGTATACGTGAAAGCGTGCAAGTGGTTGCAACAAGTCATGCAGACATGAGGTGAATATGACAGGCGTGGGCTCCAGTCCCCTCTAGTGCACAGCTTTCAACAGAACCCCCTCGGCTTCTTCCGAGTTGATGTTGCCATTAAACATGATTAGGCCGTTTGCTCCCAGTTTTCTGTCCCTGTCGGTTGCTTTGAACTCTACAAGCTGCAATGTAATCCCTTTTCACTTTTAACAGAAGTTCAGATCCCTTAGTTTAAAGCAAGCAGCTATGTTGTCTGAAATCAGTGGTCATAATCCCTTGGAGCTGCTGGGCCAAACTTATTCCTCAAGGTTTCCTAGGCTCTAGAGTTCTAAATTATTTCTTTCCTTTTATGATTGCTTTACTAGCTTCTCTTATCAGGACACTCTCATCTTGCCAGTCATTCACCACCTTTCATAAATCCTGAAGTGAAAGTGCTTGTGTCTTCAGCATTTAAAGAAAGCTGACACATACACCTGAGCCCCTGCACTTTAGGATCTCCCAGCTGTATTTGGATGCAGTTGAGGTAGCCACTTCTGAATTGGGGTGTCACTCTAGCCTTGCCTTTTAGAAAGCTCACCTTGGCAGCCTGTGGAATCAGGGCAACACTTCAGCCAAGCCACAGTGCTTTGTAGAATAAAATTTTAAAACAGTGTCAGAGTTTTCCATTTACCATATAGACTTATTTGCTTCGAATACATCATTTTATCTGGAT